CCTCCCGCTCCTCCCGCACCTCTCATGCGTTCCGCTCCGTGGCCTCCCTGAGGTCGGCGCGGGGATCCATGTGGCGGGAGCCCGAAGACCCTCCAGTTGGCCTGACTACGGAGCCGCCCGGACCCCGCTCAAGGGAAAGTGGCGCCCTGTTCGGCGAGCAAAGAAAGGTTTAGAAGAGTTTTCAATCGAAAAGAACAACAAAAAATATGTATCCAAGCATTCGACGACTCACGCTGAGATCGCCTGTGGCTGCTTCACCGCCTTGCGGAAGCGGGCCGCCTTCGCGGCCGCCTCATCTCGCTTGGTCGCCGCTGTGGAAGCCTTGGACTTCTTCGGCCAGCTGCCGAAGAGGATCGACACGGCCCGGCGCTTCTGGGCGCCGCCGCCAGCAGCCGGCGCGGCGGATGAGCTCGCGCCTTGATGATCAGGCGCCGGCTGGCGGGGCGGGGCGACTTCGACCTCGGCATCATCGGCCAGTCCTCGAAGCCGGCCGTGAGCCCCGCGCCTCCGGCCTCGTCGCTTTCCCCCACGATGGCGTCTTCCATGGCGGCCGCTCCCAAGTCCGGGTCATCGGCGTCGTCCACCGTGTGGTCAGGGACGAGCTGGCGCTCTACCCCTGCGGCCCCGGTCGTCGGCGGGAGGAGAGGGTTCTGCAAAAGGCAAACCAACTGATCAAAGAGTCGGCTATCATGAGGCCGGCTACAAAAAGGAAGAAAAGAAGAAAGAACTTACGGCAGGCGGAGGGTTGGCGCGGGAATACGGCTCCTTGCCGTATCGCCAGTCCTCGGCGAGCTTGCAATTGGAGATATAGTTCACCATGTAGGAGACCTCCGCATGAGGCATCTCCCTGGTGCTCAGCCGGCTTGGGTCGAAGCGGCTGCTCATTTGATAAACCATGTGAGGCCAGCTTTGGAGGGGAAGAACCCGGCGCTCCACGAAGGCGGCCACCAAGTATGCTCCGGTCAGGCCCTCCGATTGGATCATCACCCGAAGCCGGGAGACGGCTACGTTCCCGGCCTGAGACAACGACCTGGCCCGGTAGCTCCACGAAGGTCGCCTCCCAGCCGGCGGGCCGGCTTCATAAGCCGGCAGGTTGACGTAGTCGCCTTGCCGCGCGACATTCTTCACGTAAAAGTATGAATTCTGCCAGAGCTTCACCGTCTGGATCAGCGGGATGGGCGGAAACGGGTTGTTCTCGCTCGCCCGCCTCATGGCAATAAAGGCTCCGCAAGGGGCGGGCACGCCCGCGACGACGGTGCCGAGCTTGCTTTGGAAGAATTCCGCCCAGAGCTCAAGCGTGGGGAGGACCTCAAGGAAGCCTTCGCATGGCGTGACGAAGGCCGACAGCAGCATCACCGCGTTGGGCGTGAGGTGATGCGGCTGGAGGTTGTAGAATTCGAGGAAGGCTCGGAGGAACCCGCTCGCCGGAAGGCCGAAGCCGCGCAGGCAGTGCGAGCGGAAGATCACCCGCTCGCCCTTCTCCGGTGCCGGCGAAATCTCCTTCTCCGGCGCTAGACGAACCCGAACAAAGTCCTCGCCGGGCAGGCAAAGCGTCTGGCAGAGGAACGCGACGTGGTCCTCATGGACGTTGGAGCCATCCCACGATCTTGACAGCGCCATGGGGGCAGCGCGGTGAGAAGCAAGACGATGCGGCGGCGGAGCGGCGCGGCAAAGAGTTACTGCGGCGGCGGGAAGGAGAAGAAGGAAGACGAGAAAGGGCGGAGTGAGGGAGAGCGCGCGAGCCTCTGCCGCTCCCCCTCCTCCTCCTACTTATAGACCGCGCAGCGGAGCCGAGGAGGCGCGGCGTGGGGGAACGTGGGGATCAACTGCGCCCACTCCCCCACTTCCCGTGATTATTACGCCTTGATGGCAGAATAAAACCGCCGTGAGAAGGCGAGCGGTCCATGTGGGCTGCAGAAGATCCATGCTCGGGCCGAGGCCTAGTAGTGGCGGGCCCGGGCCTGCGGCGGCGTCCCGTCGCGCGCGTGCACTGGTAGGGTTTCCTTGCCATGTGGCCCGCGGGATGGCCTGCGGACAGCTCGCAGGTCGACCGCGTTCCCGCCTACGAGAAACGGAGCTCTCCGAAGTCGGCGCGCACAAGCAAAGCCGGCCCCTCAGGATGGGAAGCTGACCAAGCTTCTCGTCCCTTTATCAGCTTCGAAGCTCGCTCAGCTTCGGGGACTACTGTCGGAGTAAGTGACCACGGGTAGCCTAGCCGGCTCCGCCTGGCCTTTCTGAAAAAATTACGAGCCAATCCGGCTCTCAAGAAACCAAGACATGGGGCCGCCCTCCCCTGGTCGGTTGTCTCCCAGGCCGGCTATTGGAAGGCGGCCCGACTTCAGCCCTCATGAAGAAAGCCGCGGGAGGGCCGGCTCCGAGGAGCCGGCTGCGAGAAGGCCGACTCCAAGGAGCCGGCTCCCATAAAGCGGTCAAGACCTTACCCGCGAAGTCTGCATCCACCTAACGGCGATGTGACGGGGCGTGTCTACAGTGAAGCCTGCCACCCCCGAATCCCGGAGCGCGCCTGGTACAGTGCGCCGTACGGGTGGCCATGACCCATCCGGCGCAACACTGTTGCCACGTTGACCCTGACGTCATCCACGACGGGCTACCAGTACGGCCCACGGGCGGTGGGCCCCTTCGAATAGAGAGACACCCGAAGGCGGCCTGGCCTCCCCCAGTCGGCCCAAGACGGAGCCGGCTCTCTCCAGTCGGCTTGCCACTCCCTCGAAGGAGGCGCCCCATTAAGGAGACAAGACGCGGTGAGGCTACAGTGGTCACCCGCCGGACGGCAGCACTGTAGCCACGCTTACCTCGGCGAAGCCCTCGTCACCAAGATTGAGCAACAGTGACCAGCCACCGACAAGGCCCTGGACAGTGGGGCCTGCCTGTCGACCAAGGAGCCGGTAGCCGGCGCAGAAGCCGGAGAGCGAAGACACAGACGGCTGGGCCCCGCGCCCAGCCGGATTACCATTGTACCCCCGGGGGGTAGGCCTATATAAACCCCCCGGGACACCCATGCAAAGGATGGATCCCTGCTAGTTTTAGACACCACGTAGGGAGGAGAAGAGAGCAAGCAGAGCCCTTCTTCCTCCTCTCGCCAAACAGCTCAAGGAGCATCGTGTAGCTACTTGTTCATCTAGTGATCATGCGGAGACCCCGCAGAGCAGCAGTAGGGGTGTTATCTCCACGGAGAGCCCCGAAGCTGGGTAAGATTCGTCGGCGTGCATGTCTTCGCCTCATCCCATTTCCAGGCACCGGCGATGTTTTACTGGCTCCCACAACGATAAGCCACCCGTTGGCATATGTCGCACCTACCATCCGACAATAGATCATGGACATAAGGCTTCAAAGGCTTAATGATGAGAACATCACTAACAATATAGTGGAGGAGGCAGAGGTGAACACCTATATCATCAAAACAACCCTCAAGGTGAGCTTGAGGATGAAAAAGGTGGCATCATCTACATCGTCGAAAGGAGCCAAAATCAGGGTAAAGTGCTCTGAAGTAATAGGGTTTAAGTGAGCCCTGAATAGTTGACATGTAATTTCATGAGCGAGGGATCTCAATGAGCGGTGAATACACCCATACGATAATATTTCATGCCTCCATTACATTTTTTGTACCAATGCAAAGATTTGCCTTTTTAGTAATTAAGAAGGGATTATAATCTAGTTAAAATTAAGGAAAACGGGTAAAACTAGTACATGCATTGCCAACCCACTAAAAGCCTCAAACATCCAATGAAAGCTAAACTCACACATTTCGCTGATGCAATATACACAACCAAAACGCTCCAACCAAGCAGACACGAACCAACCGGAAACCTACTCCGTTGAAGGTCTCGCACCACTGTCGGGATAGAAGAAGTCATGACTGCTATTGAAGGAGCAAACTAGGTATGCTCTCACGGAGATAAGACGCATGCACTCCACAAGCTATAGAGGATTTGTGCGCAATGCGACACTTGATACACCAATGACCAGCAGTACACGCTACCTTGCTCACACAACCACAACGTTGTCAAACTCTCAAGGCCACCACCTTGATTTCCGACCCCTCAGTCGTCCATTGGCATGGTCCACCAACACCACCTTCCAGGTTCACCATTGACATACCACCACTCGCTACCACCTACAACCTATGCTTCATGGGGCAATGGTCCGTAGACTACGATATTCTGCCGCTGCTCCAATGTAAAATCAGATCTCTCTTTGGAACGCTAAGCCGACAAGCTCGCTAACAATACTGTCACATAAACCCATGGTGTATATAAGGTAAAAAGGAATTAATTTACTGGAAACTCTTAGATTTGTACATCACTAGCACCTAGTCGACTCTCTCTCTCTCTCTCAAAAACAAAGAGGAGGGAAAACATGTATAGACAGGTGACACCAATGTCGATGGTGGCTAGCTACTTCTCCTTTTGTTCTTACCTCTGCCAAGAGCTTCATGTCGTTGCTGTTCCCCTTCGCTGCCATCCCCAGCGACAGGGGCAACACTGGCTTCTCGTCGACCTTGGCTTCTTGACGGGCTGACCGACCTCACCTTTCAGGGCTGCCGTCCCGACATACCACCACTCACTCTCAAGTTATGGTGTCGCACAGCCTAACCACTTACAATCTATGTTGCGACGGGTAACCGTTCATAGACCATGACTGTTGCACTGACTCATCTCTGGATGTCATCGCTCCGACATGCCACCGCTCACTACCACCTCCAATCTATGCTTCACGGGGCAATCGGATGCAATATGCAGACTAAAGCAGTCGCACCAGCTCATCGCCGCCCCGGCATAAAGTCAAACCGACCCCTCTGTGCACGTCAACTGGTGTATAAAACTGACGGCTTAAGATGTGTACAGCACTAGTATGGTAGTCGACTCTCTCCCAAAAAAGAGAGAGAAAACCCGTACACGACGGGTAAACGGTATTTACATACATCGACACCAAATGTCGAAGGTGGCTAGCTACTTCCCCTTTTGATTCCGTGATCCTAGCTAGCAGCTAATCACCTCTGCCAGGAGCTTGTACCGCCTCACCTTGACCCTACCCTGCCGCGCCAGCTTCCCCGCCTGCATCGGCTTCTTGTCGCCGCTGTTTCCCTTCGCCGCCGTGCCCGGCGACGGGGGCAGCGCCGGCCACTCGTCGACCTTAGGTTTCTTGTCGCCGCTGTTCCCCTTCGCCTTCGTGCCCGGCGACGGAGGCAGCGGTGGCCTCTCGTCGACTTTGGGCTTCTTGTCACCGCTGTTCCCCTTCGCCGCCGTGCCCGGCGACGGAGGCAGCAGCGCTTGCCTGTCGTCGACCTTGGGCTTCTTGTCACCGCTGTTCCCCTTCGCCGCCGTGCCGGGCGACGGGGGCAGCGCTGGCCACTCGTCGATCTTAGGCTTCTTGTCGCCGCTGTTCCGCTTCGCCGCCGTGCCCGGCGACGGGGGCAGCGGTGGCCTCTCGTCGACCTTGGGCTTCTTGACCGGCTGACCAACCTCCGCGGCCGATCTCCTGGACCTCGTAGCAGTGGCGCATCCGGCCTCGTGCTGCCGCCGCGCCTCCTCGTCGGAGGTGGACGTCTCCGTTGATTGCACCATCTTCCGTTTCTCCGCCTTCTTGCTAGCCACCGGTTGAGCTTGAGCGTGCGCTTGGGCGTGGGCTTCTGCGGGCTCCCTCAGGCACCAGTTGCACCTCCTGTACGCCGTGGCCCTCGGGTACAGATCGCTGCAGTATCTACACACATAACAAACACACGCCCAGGTCAGATGGATCGATCGATAGGAGAAGGAGAGCTGGAGCGATCGCGCAAGGCACACACGCCGGCACGCACCTGTGCTGCAGGCGGACGCGGCAGAGCTTGCAGCGGAGCAGCTCGTGCGGCAGGCCGCGGTCGCCGCACATGCAGCAGACAGCGCAGGCGCCGGCGCCCAGCGGAGAAGGTGGCGGCTCCATGGAAGCTTGCTTATGATCCACAGCGCGCGCGGCAGGCCGCTGCTAGCTGCAGGTGGATGGGATGAAGTGAGACGGCCGAGGCCGGGAAAGGTCCGGGTGTGCGGATTGGTAGATATGTGGATGCTCGTAGCGTACGAGGCTAGGCATTAACGCGCTCACATCTTCTCTGGGCGTCGCGTTTATGGTTGCGGGGCGTACCGGGGCAGCTTCCGTGAGGTTGAGTACGCCCGGGGGGTAGGGTAGGAGAGGGAGACGAGGTGGCCTTCCTTCCTATTTATATAGACCCAAGGACTCTCCCTCCGACGCGCGCGCGAGAGAGAGAGAGAGAGGGAGATGAATGTGAATGGCTACCGTGGACTGAGGACAAGACTTGCAATTAAGGGCTGTGGTTTAGTTTCATTTTCTGATGATGGGACCCATGCGCCCGTCATCTATCTGTTCGTCCTGCCGTGTGATCCCGATGGGCGATGGCGCGTCGCTCCGGCCACCTCGGCTCGGCTGGTTCGAGACAACCAGCGACATTGACGATTCGGTGCTAGGGACAATGACGGCTCATTGCGCCGCATCATCATGGCTGGTTAGAAAGAATGGATCAACATAATTCAATTAACCTGCCTTGTTGTCTTTGGTTGCGTGCATTTTAACTATGCAGAGGTCTCGTGTCGCATAATTTAATTTGTATCCTTTTGATGCTACTTTTTTCTCGAATACGCACGAGGATGCGTACTATATATTAAAGAAGAAGAGCCAAAACGGCTGGTACAACGCTTTTCGGCAACGTGCGACCACAGAAGATAGCACCCACATTCACCGTGACAACACCGTCAACTAACCCGCCTTGACCAAACTCGAGCCAATAATGGCGAAGAGGACGGTCACTGAGCACACAGGCCACGCCCCCCTATACCAAACAACTCAAAAGACGACAAAAACACCTAACCAAACTAGCTCAACGCACTCTCCATTCTTGGTGCCTAGAGGATCGGCGAGCGGACAACGGGAGATAGTCTCACTAGGAGAAGACGCCGTCGGAAAGGTGTTGATTATGGAGTACATAGCGCCCTGGATGCTCATGTCCCCAGCAACACCCCGCGCATGACAACTTGGCACCCCAAGCCTCACCGCCGAAGCGTGCAAGGCAACAAACCAGCTGCTCCTCCGGACGCACCCTGAGCACCTAGGCAGCGCCTCAAACAAGAGGACGGCGCCGAGACGCCGCCACTGTCTGGCCCGGCAAACCGAGCCTAGAGTTTCCCCCGGTGACAGAACAAGGGTTGGACATGCCATTGTTGGGGAACGTAGTAATTTCAAAAAATTTCTACGCACACGCAAGATCATGGTGATGCATAGCAACAAGAGGGGAGAGTGTAATCTACGTACCCTCATAGACCGAAAGCGGAAGCGTTATAACAACGCGGTTGATGTAGTCGTACGTCTTCACGGCCCGACCGATCAAGCACCGAAACTACGACACCTCCGAGTTTTAGCACACGTTCAGCTCGATGATGATCCCCGGACTCCGATCCAGCAAAGTGTCGGGGAAGAGTTCCGTCAGCACGACGGCGTGGTGACGATCTTGATGTTCTACCGACGCAGGGCTTCGCCTAAGCACCACTACAATATTATCGAGGAGTATGGTGGAAGGGGGCACCGAACACGGCTAAGAAAACAATCACGAGGATCAACTTGTGTGTCTAGCGGTGCCCCCCTGCCCCCGTATATAAAGAAGTAAGGGGAAGGAGGCCGGCCCTAGGAGGGGCGCGCCAGGGAGTAGGATTCCTACTCCTAGTTGGAGTAGGTTTCCTCCTTTCCTACTCCAACTAGGAGAAGGGGTAAAGTGGGAAGAGGGGAAGGAAGGGAGAGAGGGGCCGCGCCCCAAACCCCTTGTCCAATTCGTACTGGGCTTGGGAGGGGCGCGCGCCACCTCCTGGTCCTTCCCACTAAGGCCCATTAAGGCCCATTGCTTCTTCCTTGTACTCCCATAACTCCTCGGTACCTCCGAAAATATCCGAATCACTCGAAACCTTTCCGATGTCCGAATATAGTCGTCCAATATATCGATCTTTATGTCTCGACCATTTTGAGACTCCTCGTCATGTCCCCGATCTCATCCGGGACTCCGAACTCCCTCGGTACATCAAAACTCATAAACTCATAATATAACTGTCATCGAAACCTTAAGCGTGCGGACCCTACGGGTTCGAGAACAATGTAGACATGACCGAGACACGTCTCCGGTCAATAACCAATAGCGGAACTTGGATGCTCATATTGGCTCCCACATATTCTACGAAGATCTTTATCGGTCAGACCGCATAACAACATACGTTGTTCCCTTTGTCATCGGTATGCTACTTGCCCGAGATTCGATCGTCGGTATCTCAATACCTAGTTCAATCTCGTTACCGGCAACTCTCTTTACTCGTTTCGTAATACATCATCTCGCAACTAACTTATTAGTTGCAATGCTTGCAAGGCTTATGTGATGTGCATTACCGAGAGGGCCCAGAGATACCTCTCCGACAATCGGAGTGACAAATCCTAATCTCGAAATACGCCAACCCAACATGTACCTTTGGAGACACCTCTAGAGCTCCTTTATAATCACCCAGTTACGTTGTGACGTTTGGTAACACACAAAGTGTTCCTCCGGCAAATGGGAGTTGCATAATCTCATAGTCATAGGAACATGTATAAGTCATGAAGAAAGCAATAGCAACATACTAAACGATCGGGTGCTAAGCTAATGGAATGGGTCATGTCAATCACATCATTCTCCTAATGATGTGATCCCGTTAATCAAATGACAACACATGTCTATGGTTAGGAAACATAACCATCTTCGATTAACGAGCTAGTCAAGTAGAGGCATACTAGTGACACTCTGTTTGTCTATGTATTCACACATGTATTATGTTTCTGGTTAATACAATTCTAGCATGAATAATAGACATTTATCATGATATAAGGAAATAAATAATAACTTTATTATTGCCTCTAGGGCATATTTCCTTCAGTCTCCCACTTGCACTAGAGTCAATAATCTAGTTCACATCTCCATGTGATTTAACACCAGTAGTTCACATCACCATGTGATTAACACCTATAGTTCACATCGACATGTGACCAACACCCAAAGGGTTTACTAGAGTCAATAATCTAGTTCACATCGCTATGTGATTAACACCCAAAGAGTACTAAGGTGTGATCATGTTTTGCTTGTGAGAGAAGTTTAGTCAACGGGTCTGCCACATTCAGATCCGTAAGTATTTTGCAAATTTCTATGTCAACAATGCTCTGCATGTAGCTACTCTAACTAATTGCTCCCACTTTCAGTATGTATCTAGATCGAGACTTAGAGTCATCTAGATCAGTTTCAAAATTTGCATCGACGTAACCCTTTACGATGAAACTTTTGTCACCTCCATAATCGAGAAACATATCCTTATTCTACTAAGGATAATTTTGACCAATGTCCAATGATCTACTCCTAGATCACTATTGTACTCCCTTGCCAAACGCAGGGCAGGGTATACAATAGATCTGGTACACAGCATGGCATACTTTATAGAATCTATGGCTGAGGCATAGGGAATGACTTTCATTCTCTTTCTATCTTCTGCCGTGGTCGGGCTTTGAGTCTTACTCAATTTCACACCTTGTAACACAAGCAAGAACTCTTTCTTTGACTGTTCCATTTTGAACTACTTCAAAATCTTGTCAAGGTATGTACTCATTGAAAAAACTTATCAAGCGTCTTGATCTATCTCTATAGATCTTGATGCTCAATATGTAAGCAGCTTCACCGAGGTCTTTCTTTGAAAAACTCCTTTCAAACACTTCTTTATGCTTTACAGAATAATTCTACATTATTTCCGATCAACAATATGTCACTCACATATACTTATCAGAAATGCTGTAGTGCTCCCACTCACTTTCTTATAAATACAGGCTTCACCGCAAGTCTGTATAAAACTATATGCTTTGATCAACTCATCAAAGCGTATATTCCAACTCCGAGATGCTTGTACTAGTCCATAGATGGATCGCTGGAGCTTGCACATTTTTGTTAACACCTTTAGGATTGACAAAACCTTCTGGTTGCATCATATACAACTCTTCTTTAAGAAATCCATTAAGGATTGCAATTTTGTTTATCCATTTGCCACATTTCATAAAATGTGGCAATTGCTAACATGATTCATACAGACTTTAAACATCGATACGAGTGAGAAAATCTCATCGTAGTCAACACCTTGAACTTTATCAAAAACCTTTTTCAATAAGTCGAGCTTTGTAGACAGTAACATTACTGTCAGCGTCAGTCTTCTTCTTGAAGATCCATTTATTCTCAATTGCTTGCCGATCATTGGGCAAGTCAACCAAAGTCCATACTTTGTTCTCATACATGGATCCCATCTCAGATTTCATGGCTTCAAGCCATTTTGCGGAATCTGGGCTCACCATCGCTTCTTCATAGTTCGTAGATTCATCATGATCTAGTAGCATGACTTACAGAACAGGGTTACCGTACCACTCTGGTGCGGATCTTACTCTGGTTGATATACGAGGTTCGGTAGTAACTTGTTCTGAAGTTTCATGATCATTATCATTAGCTTCCTCACTAATTGGTGTAGGTGTCACAGAAACCGGTTTCTGCGATGTACTACTTTCCAATAAGGGAGCAGGTACAGTTACCTCATCAAGTTCTACTTTGCTCCCACTCACTTCTTTCGAGAGAAACTCCTTCTCTAGAAAGGATCCATTCTTAGCGACAAATGTCTTGCCTTCGGATCTGTGATAGAAGGTGTACCCAACAATCTCCTTTGGGTATCCTATGAAGACACATTTCTCCGATTTGGGTTCGAGCTTATCAGGTTGAAGTTTTTTCACATAAGCATCGCAGCCCCAAACTTTCAAAAACGACAACTTTGGTTTCTTGCCAAACCACAGTTCATAAGGCGTCGTCTCAACTGATTTTGATGGTGCCCTATTTAACG